GTCCCTCCCCATTTTCCTCCATCCCCAGTGCTTGGTAGCCACTTAATCTACTTTCTTTCCTGTTCTGGACATTTCATATAAACAGGATCAAATATTTTTCTGATGACTTCTTTCACTTAGCATAATGTTTTTGAGGTTCATCCATGTTGTAGCATGTGTCAATACTTTCTTTCTTTTCATGACTGAATAATGTAAAAAAAAATGTATAATATTAAGCATTATACATGTGGGGCTTAATCGCAGGAGTCTGAGATCATGACCAGAGCTGAAAGTGAGAGTTGGACACTCATGCAACTGTGCCACCCAGGTACCCCTACAACATTTACAAGAAAATGAGTTTGCCATGTTTCTTTGTAAATCCTCCAATACCAGTAAGTTGGGGATGAACCACAAACCGCTCCAAGACTTGTATATTACTATCTATGTACAAAGAAGGTGGGAGCAGTGGAACATCAGATGAATCTGGGAGTCAAAAAATAGACAAAAAGCAATCACTGGAAATCTTGGATGGCCAGTTTAAGAAAGCCAGCTGAAACTGGGTGGGGTTTTGCACACACAGATAATGGGTGTGTGAGAGAGGTCTGTGGTCAAGTCTTAAGGGACTAGAGCATCTTTGTGAAACTTTGAAAACAAACCAACCAAAGCTTCTTTCCATGACCAGTTCTCAAAAGTGCAAAAGAAATGAGAATATAACTGAGCATCGCCTGAAGAATACAGCAAAGGAAAGAGAAGATCCTGATAAAAGTGGTGGAGAGATAAGATATCAGAAAACAAAGAACTATATTTTGAACACATTATGTTTAGATGAGGGAGTTTTATGAGTGTGAAGTTAGAATAGAAATTCTAGGCCAAGCTTTTTTCTGAAGTTTAGAAAATGATTGTTGTCAAGTCTCACAAAGTTTTTAAAGAAAAATGAGACTCAGAATAGCAGCCCTGTAGACAAGAAAGCACACCAGAAAGACATATCCACAAAGCAGATGAAACAATTAGATATTAAGACAAAAGGCAAGACAAGACATAATCCGAACAAGGCATTACTAAAAAAAAAAAAAAAAGTTTGTGTAAGGAAAAAATAAAAACTAGGCGATAGAACTTAGTAAAATATTAGAAATGAAAGAATATTTATTTTAAAAATGAAGGGAATGGAAGGAGTATAAGAGCAAATAAACATGGACAGTACCTTGAGAGAGAAAGATGAAAAGGAAAAACTTTAAAAATAAGGGTAAGAAATAGTTGTAAAACAAATTTGACAGAAGCTAACATTGAAAAGAGGCAGAGAAAATCCAACATATGTATAATGGGAGCGCCACCGCCCCACCCCCCCACCCCCCCCACCCCGCCTGGCCAATAAAGCTAGTAAGGGAACAGATATTAAAAAGTTAACAGAATTAAAAACAGATTTGGAATTCCATTTTGAAAAAGCACAACACATACCTGAGAACCCTGACACGGAAAGACCAACCTTGAGATATAGTCTAGTAAATTATTGGACTTTAAAGGAAAAATAAAAAGCCCTCAGACATGTAGGCAAGAATTCACAAAGTCTCTTAGAAGGAGAATCAGATTTTTGTCATACCTTTCAAAAGTAACCGTTCAGGGGAGAAAACATATTTATGAGAAGACTTATGAGGGAAGACACAATTTATTGTGGAAATTTTATGTCTTAAGATATTCAAGAGTGTATGAACCCAAGATTTTATATATAATCAAGCTGATTTTCAGGTATAAAAGTCCCAAAGTGTTACATATGTGTTAGAATTTGAAGAATATTGCTTCTACTAGCCCTCCTGAGGAACCTACTGAGAACAAGCTTCAGAGAATGAAAATGACTAGAGAGGCATTAATATAAGGACTGATGTTATAATGACACTTGCAGAATCAAATGATGGCTAAGAAAGGGGAAAGTATGGTCTACAGACAGGTGGGAAAGAGAATGGAGGGATTAAATACAAAACATTTAAAAAGTTATTTTCAGTTATCTTATTGGTGGTACCACTGGTAGTATTTGGAGACTCTGCAATGTGAAATAAAAGCAAATGAGTAATTGTGTATTATTCTACTTCTGTCATGAACTTTGTCCTTAAGAACCATGATTCTTGGTATAGAGGAAAAGAGACAACTTAGTTTGAGAAATGTATATTTGTGTATGGGATGGGTAGGGCAGGTGTTGGTAGCTGAGATAGAGAAATAAGCTAAATGTTTTAACTCCAGGAGTTTTTAAAAAGAGGAGAAGATAACCCCTCTTTTTCAGGGGAGGGAAGAAGGGAAGAAGTAGAAATTAATAGTATTAGAAAAATAACTACAAAATGAAATCAGTAAAAGATTTGACCAATAAATCAGTTTAACAATCAACTGGAAAATTTGGTCAGGAGAAACAACATAAAGACAAAATATTAGAAGTAAGGAAAATGAACAGTTTCTGAGAATATTATAAGCAGTATGCCTGTAAATTTGAAAATTCAAGGAGTTAGATCGTTTCTTTTTTTATGGACAGGTTTTATCAAATGCATAAAGAACAGGAAATTTCCATGTTTAAATTTTTTTAGAAAATAAATGATAGAAATCATCCCATTTTTCTTTTTCTTTCTTTTTTTATTTTAAGATTTTATTTATTCGAGAGCGAGAGAGAGAGAGATCGCAGGCAGGCAGAGAGAAAAGGGGAAGCAGGCTCCCCGCCAAGCAGAGCCCCCCAATCCAGGGCTCTATCCCAGGATCCTGAGACCATGACCTGAGCCGAAGGAAGAGGCTTAGCCACTGAGCCACCCAGGCGCCTTATCCCATTTTTCTTACCGAGATGCATAAACCGAGACACTAAAACTTGGCATAATCTTCAATTTGACCATTCCACTCAACATTCCTTTTCTTTATCAGAGGGGACTTTTTTGGACAACATTAGTGAGCCCCTATGTCCTCTGGCATCTGATAGGATTTGGAAATGAGGAGCCCTGGCAGGAATTGGAGAACAGAGGAGATTAAAATATTTATTCCTGTAGCTCATTCTCTGTAAGATGCCTTGGGTTGGCCCTCCCTCTTCTCAAAGTCCTAGTCTTTTCTTCAGGGCCTGTATAGGTGTTGAGAACTTGCCTGGGTTATTGTACTATCCCTTGTGATTTCTGTGAGCCTTATCCTCAGCTTTGTAAAGAGTCTGCTTGTAAATAAATTCTCCTTAAATTAACTAACTTGAGTGGGCCATCTGCTTTCTGTAGATTCTTTCTGATACAATAGATGAATTTAGGATTTTTGCTCTTGTAGAAAATATGAAAGTAAAAGTTGTATTAGTTTTGCCTAAGAAGAAGTATAGCACTGAAAAAATATTCCGTACAGAAAATATTGTGTATAAAATTAAAATTATAAACATTTAAGATGTATAGATTAGGCTTTTATGTATTATTTGTTAATTTGCTGTCCTTTAGTATTGTATCTATGTTAAGTTTCCTGAGTGTCATCATTGGATATGTTTATATAGGAGAATGCTCTTGTGAATGTTCTTAGAGATAGATAATGCTACAATATTTAGGAATGAAGTGTCATGAGATATATATATATGTATGTATGTATATATATATATATATATTTATTTCCCAAAGAGAAAAAGAAAAAAGAAGTGGGTGTGTGTAATAGACATAACAGACATAAAGCACATGTCAAAAATTAATTGGTGCATCCTTATTAAGATATGAACATCCACTGTTAATATCCTCAGAACTCTTGTGGCTTTGAAATTTTCAAAATAAAAAGGGGAAATATTCAAAACAAAAAATGAAATGCATGGATAAACAGTTTTATAAAACTAATAAGAAACATAAAATGCCAGCATTTGAACAATCACTGAAAAATACAGAAGGCCTTTAAACAAAATGATCCTTGACTTTAGTAATAAAGGAATGTAAATTTAAATGAGTTGTCATTGTTCATCTATCAAAGTAGCAAAGGTTAAGAAAAGTGATAATTCCAGTGCTGTTGGGGGTGCAGCAAATTGCATGGGAAGTATAGCTTGGTTCCTGCCATCTTGTGTGCAGTCTGACAGTATGTGAATACTTAAAATCTCTGTGCTCTTTAATCACAGCCATTTCATTTAATGTATAAAACTGATAAGGTAATATGTGAGTAAGGTTATATGTATAAAGCATGTGCACTGCAGTGTTGTTAATAGCAAAAACCACTTAAATGTCCAAGTCAATGTTTAGCTTTACAAACAGTAGAATACTACTTAACTTTTAAACGCAGAAATTAGTATATTGATATGGAATATTATCCATGATTGCTACATTAAAAATAAAAGCAGGTTATAGAACTACCCCATTTAAAGTAATATGTGCTCATAGGCATAATGTTACTTACCAGTATTATACAGGTTTTGAAAACCTGGTTGGGAGAGTATCGAAAAAGGTGGGAAGATTTTAGGAGAGTGGGACTTTATTTTTTAAATTTTGGCGGGGAGGTCGTGGGACTTTATTTATTTATTTTTAAAGATTTTATTTATTTGACAGAGAAATAGCAAGAGAGGGAATACAAGCAGGGGGAGCGGGAGAGGGAGAAGCAGGCTTCCCGTTGAGCAGAGAGCCCGATGTGCGGTTTGATCCCAGAGCAGAAGGCAATGCTTAATGACAGAGCCACCCAGGTGCCCTGAGAGTGGAATTTTAATATTCTCTTTTTTTAATTATAAAGAAATAAAGCTCATATAATAGAAAATGTAACGGAACTTTAATTTTATTTAAACATTTTTGCAATACTTTTTCCTTTAATTTCTTTGTATGGTGCTTTGTTAGTATAGTTTTATTGAGTTATAAAAAAAAATCTGTAGGGGGGCACCTGAGTGGCTCAGTTGGTTAAGCATCTGCCTTGGCTTGGGTCATGATCCCAGCGTCCTGGGATTGAACTTTGTGTTGGGCTCTCTGCTTAGCGGGGAACCTGCTTTTCCCTCTCCCTCTGCCTGCTCCCCTGCCCCCCAACACTCTCTGTGGAGAAACTAATTTTGCTCTTGTGTATTTTGTTTTCAGAGCAGTGGAAAGAGCTCAGTGCTAGAAAGCCTAGTGGGGAGAGACCTGCTTCCCAGAGGCACTGGTATTGTCACCCGGAGACCTCTCATTCTGCAACTAGTCCATGTTTCACCCGAAGACAAGCGAAAAACAACGGGAGAAGAAAATGGTAAATTTTAGAATTGAGATTAAAAATTGTTTAAAAATTCTTTATTTTTGCTTGAAAAATTTGCTTCAAAATACATGAATTGATTAGACAAATCAGTGGCTATAACAAAAGCAGGAGTCCTGTAGAGAGAAGTGGAATGCATCATTTCTCTTGTGAAAAAAAGAGTAAGTTTTGTTTTTTTGAGGACCCTGAGTAGATTTGTTTGGAATAGTACCTTTTCGGTAATTCCCCTTATTAGTAAGCTGTCATTAATGCTTAGGGAGGATTTAGTGAGGTACTGGGTAAATAGGAATCAGTTATTTAATTTTATTTTTTTAAAGATTTTATTTATGTATTTGACAGAAAGAGATCACAAGTAGGCAGAGAGGCAGGCAGAGAGAGAGAGGAGAAAGCAGGCTCCCTGCTGAGCAGAGAGCCTGATGCGGGGCTCGATCCCAGGACCCTGGGATCATGACCTGAGCCAAAGGCAGAGGCTTTAACCCGCTGAGCCACCCAGGCGCCCGGAATCAGTTATTTTAAAGAAAAAGTTTTTGTGTCTTTTGGAGTGTTTTAATAACTTTTTTTCCCTAGTGTTTAAAACAATGTTTTTATTTTTTAACTTTGATTTAGAAACTTAATCTAGGTTTTAGTTCAGAGATTTTAAATACAATTAAAATGACTTTGCTTTTCAGTACAGCAGTGTTATCGCACCTTCCCTTTTCTGGTCTTACCATGTACTTGCTAATTTTGAATCTTTTGCCCTTTAATAAAATATTATTTTTAGAAAGAGTTTATTATTATTTTTTTTTTTGCTATCTTTCTCTTGCCAAGCCTTGCCTGCATAGCACATACTATTCTGATTTTCCACCCATTCCTGCAATAGTAAATGTGGAATATTAAGAAAATATACACTGTCCTTTATTGCAGTCCTTCTTTGGTTAAACTGAAAATATTTTGAGAAATACTAGGTCTATAAATGGATATTAAATTGCTTATTAAGTATATGTCCTATCTATATTAGTGAGGTTGGAATGTTTGATGCAAATGTATTTTATCTTCTTCATTGCTTAGCTCAGACTTTCTTTCTTATTTATAAAACTGTAAAATGCTCTAATGAATACATTTGCAGCAGTGTACCATGTTTGTTACTTTTCTGCACAAATCTGTTTACAGTGCACTTTCATTCTATTTCTTAGATTCTGATCTAAGAAGGGATGATAGTATTGATGAAATTGAAGTTACTTTGATTTGTATTTATTTTTCCATTATTATAGGAGCGTTGGTGATGATAGCCTGATTTTTTTTTTTTTAAGGAAAAAAAACCCCTATTGTGATGTAGAAAGTTAATCACTGAAGCAGGTTAATGAAGTTGTAGGTGTTAACAAGTAATACTTTTGGATAAATTGCCAGAGGACATGTAAGAGCCTCTTAATTATATTAGGTAGTGTCTTGATATATTATTTATGACTTTGCATTTCTGTAATATTTCTGTATTATTGAAATTCAGAGCCTTGAACTTCGTCATTTTGGAGTAACCTATGGTTCAGCTTCATATATATAGAATAACACTTAAAATTTCATTCCCACTAAGTTATGTCTTCAAATCAACCAAATACCTTAAACTAAGACTTTAAGGAACCATATGGCATTAATTAGGTCTCTTTCTTTTAACTTTTTATTTTTTTCAGTTACCATGAAAAGGGCAGATGATAGATACATGCCTCTCAGAAACTGTTTGCAGAGCTGGGCAGTATTTTGAGAAAAGGGTGTACATTTCAGCTACAGAAGTGTCAGTTCCTCAGTTTCTCTGCTTGTATGTTCACTGTATTTTGTTGATGTGTCTCTTCTTGGTGGTGGTCAGCAGATCTGCATATCTTAATACATATATATTTTCAAAGCTTAGTGCTTATATTTTATATAAAATGTAAAACCTCACTTAAAATGACAACTCAATTACCCAGAACACAAAATAGATTAAATAAGTTTTGAGTATTAAATTTCATATGTCCTATTAATAACTAGCATAGTTCCTTAGTGTCTCACCAGAGCCTCTTTATCCTCAGTATGAACAGTCTACCTTGTCATAAATTGTAACCCAGAGAAAATCAGAAACAATGAAGCAGATAAACAATTAGCCACAAGAGTATGAACTTCCTCCAGTCTGACAACCAGAGAGGAGAAAGGGAGGAAAACATAACCAGATGGAAAATTCAAAAAAGAAAAAATCAGTCTCTAACCATTTTGTATAGAGATTTATAGCCTCAGAGGGCTTTGTTATATAAGAGAGGCCTACGTTATCAATAATAGGTTTGTTTAAGAGCAGTGTGTTTTAGGATGATATGGAGTAGTATAATCCATTTTAGATACAGGTCCATCAAAACTGACTAAAGTAAAGTATTTTAATGTTTAATAAGCATAATTTAGTTATCAGGAAATTTTATTCTATGTTGAGTCCTTCATTCTGCCAACCAGATAGGATAATTGAGGTGTCAATGTATAGAATTTCTTAGCTTGCACCCCCTTTAGCCAATGTAAAAGAATTTTCTGAAAAAAATCTTACCAAAAACATATTCATGCTGTTTTAGAGTAAGATAGTGGTTTAGTTTGAACTTTGAACTTCATGATTATCTTTCATATATTTTAAGAAATAAATCAAGCTCTCCTCAGATTTCTTTTTAGGCAAAATCCAGAAGTAGCATGCTGATTAAAGACCAAAATTGTTTCTGTTCTTTTAAATTCAGTAAATATTTCAAAGAACATAATAATCCCTTACATAGCTCAATCTTTGTGAATAGGGTAAATACTTGTATATATTTACTTTCGAGGTGTTGAAAGATGCACTGGGTATGCTTTGTAGATTTTTTTGTACCAGGCCATTTATCTTCTCTCATATTCATAGATGTCAAGTATATCAAATATTTAAGGCAAATTTTTGAAGAGTGAATTAATTTTAATCCAGTTGTGTTAGAACTAGAAACCAGAGGTAACACAATTAGTTGTAATGGAAAATAACAGTAAGTTATGACACATAGTATGCTTCATTTATATCACTTAAAATCTCTACATCCCTTTAATTATAATTAATTGTAGTGGAATTACAGTTGTAAAGTTTGAATAATTGAATGCTCTGTGCATTTGAAATGTGTTCAGGTTTCTGCACATCTGATTTTTTTAAAAGGTTTAAAATATTAGGGATAAGCACTAAACTTCTCATTCTGTGCTGTTTCTCTTTAACTACAGACCCTGCTACATGGAAAAACTCAAGACACCTTTCTAAAGGTTTCCTTTATCCATTTGTTTTTGACCCTTCTTTTTCTAGTATGCCTGCATGTGTGCTTACGTACTCTTACAGGCTGTGTGCATTATTTTTCTTCCATTTTTATTTGCCTATCCACATTGATTGCAGGTGGTTCTTGTTACCTCTTGGCATTGCATCAGAATACAGGCTTTTTTTGGTGGTGAATGTAATTTATTTTATTTTTATTTTTAAAAACATGCTTGTTAAGCCAGGCCTCTTGTATATGATAAGGTAAATTAAAAACACCCCTTTGGTATGTAGTACTTGCTTCTGTGAGTTCTGTTCACCTAGATTACTCCTGTCCTCCAATGAGACTTCTTGGAAGAAGGTACTAAGCTTCAAGTAGGTGAGCATTTTACTTGCAAAAAGGATCCAGTTTTATTTGCCTTATTTCCACCAAAGAAATAAGTTTTTCTTCAATATTTATTTGAAAATCTTTTAGTCCTTTTTATTTTGATTTCAGTGGCTGATAATGCATTATTCATAAACTCATTAAGACATTTAAAACTCTAAATTTGGTGAAAGCAAAATAGCTGTGCTTAGGGAAGGCAGTTAGGTTAGCTTTGTACAAATAAACACATCTAATTTCTCTGAGAAAACTAGAATAAAACTTGCTCGCCAAGATTTAGACCACTTGAAACAGTGCCTACAGTGAATATATTTCCCTTTTTTTTCAGCAAGTGCAGGAAGAACAGACCTATTACTGGAAAACTTGATGGAGAGTAGCATCTCTACAATAGTTATGCTAGAGTCATCTGTCCCACCCTCCTCCCCAACACACACTCATTTCATTTCTTTCTAACGTTCACTTCCAAGGGGGGAACATTTATCTTGAAAATGCTTATGAATCACAGAATGCACTACTGATGGAGCTCTTTAAAGGAACACCAAGTTGTAACTTATAGGTAGCCAGTAGGAAACCAAATTTTTAAAAAGTGGATTTAATAGCTAGTTCATTCACATATTGCAAACTTTTACCTTATGTGTGTAAACCTTATGTGTGCTTTTCGCATTACTCAGTAGGATTTAGTTTTTCTTTTAGCCATTTGCTTGAGTTACTTTCATTATATTAACTGCTTATGTGTAAGATACTTAAAAACAAAGCATATACTTTTGCTATGATATAGTTACATACAAAATATGAAGTGAACAATTTTATTTGTAGAATCTAGATTTCAAAAGGAAGACCTGTGAGTAACTGAAAATAGTCACTGCTTGAAATACAGGATACAGTTTTTAAAATATGGAAGTACAACTTAATAGATCTTAAAATACTGCTTGTCAATGGCAAAATAGAAACAAGTGATAACTATGTTGCCTTTTTGAACTCCTGAGATAAAAAGGTAGTTCCCATAGTTTCCAATAAATGGAGTTTTTCTTTTTCAGGGGTTGAAGCAGAAGAATGGGGTAAATTTCTTCACACCAAAAATAAGGTAATTGATCACACAAGAATATTATGAAGAAATAACATTTTTGAAAAATTTACAAGTACTTGGTAATTTAGTTTCTTATCATTGGTGGTGTGGTATATTACCTTGAAGCCACTGTTCCTTGTAAAGTAAATCTTCCCTTAGTAACATTTCTAACCATAGCAGTTTATTTGGAAAACACATTAAGTTGAGCTTTATTGTAATTTGGAAATTAACTTTTGTGGGATCAGGCAGCTTTGAAAAACTCATATAAAACTCCTTGGCTCAGAAAATAAGTGTTTATGTTAGAATTTACTAATTCTGTGAAGCAGACTCATAGACTTCTTTGAAATGTATTAACCCCTCACTTAAAAACTGTTGAGCTTGCTATGAGTGTTGTGCTTTTTGTTTCAATAATTTCTAGCTTTACACGGATTTTGATGAAATTCGACAAGAAATTGAAAATGAAACAGAAAGGATTTCAGGAAATAATAAGGTAGGCATCTTTTAGAGCTGGAACATATAAATGTCAGTAAATATGTCATTGAGATTCTTCTTCTTTTTTTTTTTTTTTTTAAGATTTTATTTATTTATTTGACAGAGACACAGCGAGAGGGAATACAAGCAGGGGGAGTGGGAGAGGGAAAAACAGCCTTCCACCCGCTGAGCAGGGAGCCTGATGCGGGGCTCAATCCCAGGACCCTGGGATCCTGACCTGAGCTGAAGGCAGATGCTTAATGACTAAGCCACCCAGGTGCCCCTCATTGAGAGTATTCTGTATATAATGTATGAGGGGCATTGTAAATTCCTAGTCCTGGTATTTGAAACTAATGGAGGTTTTCACATATATATAAAAACCTTACTTAAAATCCCATTTGTTTCTTAGAGCTTATATATACTATAAGATATTTCATTTAGATGTTTATTCTTGATCTTATGATGTACGTACCACTTGTATAATTTTTCTATTTAATACTGCTACAATAAGTTATCTTCTTCTGATAGACTGTACTCTAACTCAAGAGGGATTATGTAACTTCTGAGATTTTGAAGAGCTCTCTTTCTTACCTGAGTAAGGCTAGATTCACTTAGGAAAGCAAAGAGAGAGGTTTTTTCCAGTGAAATTAAAAACTAACATTAACTACTGAATTGTTTTCCTGTTTTCTAATACTGTGAGAATTTAAACTAGATTAGGTATCCAATATGCCATTAATCTTGACACCAGGCACTATCACTGCTTCCTATCAATGCCTCTGTTTTCTCTCCTTGTTTATTCTTGCTAACTTTCTCTCTGTTCCCTTCCTTAAAAAATTTTTTTAAACCTCCATTCTTGTATTATCCAGAGGCCATTTAATCCCACAAGTGGGCCCTAGCCCAGTATTAATATTCAACAAATACTCATTGAGCCCTTTTATCTCCCAGATGCTGTGCTGGAGAGGTTGTCCTGGCAAAAAGGCATTTTGGGAGCCATATCAGTTCTTTATGCCTAGTCAGGATATTTATCTCTTTGACCAACTAAGCTTTATTCATTATTAAACTGGTAACCTTCGAGTTGCTGCTGCTGCTACCATACTTTCTTGAATTTCTAGTAATATGTTGTATAGAAGAAGCAGAAAAAGTGGTAAGGGACTAGATTATATTGTCCTTAGTCCTGTGATTGTATCGGGGATAATCTTGACTTTGGGGATGTTGTTAATCATAATACCAGTCTGAATTCTTTCCTGCATTCCCATGGATTTACTGAATTTAGGAATTTTACAGTGCTCGCTTCGGCAGCACATATACTAAAATAGAAATTTTACATAGGGCTAGAATTTAGAGTGGATGTGACTACATCCACTACTTTCCTTTCAGAAGGGAAAGTTTTAGTTACACTAAACTGAATGTCATGAAGGATTGAGTCTATATACCAGTTAGATGTTTAATTTATGGTGGGGATGTGATATAGTTACCTAGCAGGTTTTCTTACCCACAGTGTCCAAAGGATGAGAAGTCCCCTACCCCCAAATCTGTGAAAAGTCGCTCCTTTCCTAAGTCATGTTTGTAATGAAGTAAATGATACTTTGATCTTATGTAAGTAATTTTATATGTATAAATATCTAAATGAATTCCTATGCCTAACATAAAGCCCTGAAGAATTTAAAATATCTGTGAGATTGGAATTTTAAAGGCATTTGAGCAAAGTTTGTATTGGACATGAAAGGGAATACCTGAGAAGTACACATACCTGAGTAGGTATGCTGAGTATCAGCATATGACTTTGGAACGTTGGTGTATTTGAAATAGAAAAGTAGTTTGGAGTAATCTAATAGAACTCAGAGTAAAAGATGTTCCAAAAACGCCTTCTGGGAAATTAGAATTTTCACTGGGTTAATGAAAGAAGATAGAAGGTGTAGGTAAGATGAGAGGACGTTTTCAAGGATAAAGAAGGGCAGGGCACGTGCAAAGAGAAGTTATGTACATTTTCTGTGTGCCTTTTTACATATAGCTGGCTCAGCTTTAAAACTTGTAGAGGGCCAGTGGTGAAGAGAAGGCGATCTGGATAATAATCTGAGTCTGGAGAGAAAATAGAGGTATCTCTCACTATCCAGATTCTCTCTACTTGAATTCAGAGATCTAAGATATGGATAAATTTTCCAGGGAATCTCTTAAAATACACACTTTTGCTACTTCATATTCCAAGATTAGGAGCCAAGTTGATTTGGAAACTTGTTATCCCATGCCTCACTGTCTACTCCAGAACCTCGGAAATTTGGATAGTGATACAGTTTTCTTTTTGTTCAGAACTAAGTCTATTAAACATATTTAAGAAGTTGTGTCTGTTTAGAATCAGGAGAAAAGCATGTGAAGTAATGCAGGGGAAATTTTTGTATATTAATGTATAGGATTGGATAAAATTATCACCTGCTATGTGGCTGTCTGTCTTACTTGCTATGTGTTTCATCAGGTTTTGATTACTGAAATGTTTATGGTTTAATTCATATGTAAAAACTTCTAGTGTCTATCTACTTGAAATGTGGTGTACTTTAGCATTTATATTTCACCTAAATTTTAATGTGATTTTAACATGGTATTTTAAAACTTATTTTTAGGGAGTAAGTCCTGAGCCAATTCATCTTAAGATTTTTTCACCCAATGTTGTCAATCTGACACTTGTGGATTTGCCAGGAATGACCAAGGTAAAAGATTAGTTGTTACTCATTGTGCATTTGGTCATGTTTGTTTTCAGTTGTGGTGGTTTTTGCTTGACCTCATATGAGAATAGTCAGCTTTCTTTTTTCCCCAGTCAGCTTGGTCTATTAGCTCCATTCCCTTCTCCTTGAAACACTTTCTTTACTTGGCTTCCAGGATACCAGGTTTCTCTCCAGTCTCACTGGCCATTCCTTCTCTCTCTTTTGCTGGTTTCTTTCCTCCCATTGTCTCCAGAGTGAGTGCCTCAGAGCTGTTTTTAGACCTCTTGTCAGTTGGGTACACTTAACCCCTCTTGATGATTTCATCCAAACTGTGGTTTTAAATACATGAGTGTCTGTTTGCTGACAGCATGTAAACATCTCCAGACTCACATATCCAACTGTTTGACACGTACGCTGAAGTGTCTAATGGGCATTTCAAACTGATGTGTCTTATGCTAAATTGCTGACCTGTCCCTCAACCTTACTGCATCACTCTGCAGTCTCCCCTACTTCAATAATTGACAAGTCTTTCCTATTAGTTGCTTAGCCAAAAAGTTTGTAGTCATCCTTGACACTTTTTATTCCACACCCTACTTTCTCAGAAGATCCTTCTTTCAGCTCTTCTTATATTTAAAATATATACAGAACTCCACTATATCTTACAAATTTATAGCTACCATCCTGATCCAGCCACCACCCCGTCAACTTGATTACTGCAATAACCTCCTAATAGGTCTTCCTCATAACCTGTTAAGTAAGCAGCCAGAATGACGCTATTAAGGTGAAAATTAGATTGTGTCATTCCTTTGCTCAAAATCTCGCCATTGGTTTTTCATTTCATTCACAGTAAAAGCTTAAGTTCTTTTTTTTTTTTTTTTTAAGATTTTATTTATTTATTTAACAGGCAGAGATCACAAGTAGGCAGAGAGGCAGGCAGAGAGAGAGGAGGAAGCAGGCTTCCTGTTGAGCAGAGAGCCTGATACAGGGCTCGATCCCAGGACCCTGGGATCATGACCTGAGCTGAAGGCAGAGGCTTAACCCACTGAGCCACCCAGGCGCCCCAAAGCTTAAGTTCTTAAAAGTGAAAGTATCCCTGTTCTTCTAACTCCTTCTGCTCTAGTTTTCAGCCCTTACTGTTTATTCTGCTGGAATATTCTTCCTCCAGATATCTGTGTGTACCTCTCCCTTACTGGCTTCAGTTCCTGCTCATTCTCTTTTTTAAAATTATTTTATTTTTTAAAAATATTTTATTTATTTGTCAGAGAGAAAACAAACACAAGCAGAAGGAGCAGCAGACAGAGGGAGAAGCAGGTTCCCCCTGTCTGCTCATTTTCTTGAATGTCATTATCTGAGTGACTTCTTCCCTCTTTACTCTATTTAAAAGCAGAATCCTGTTTATTTAAAAGTATAATCTTCTCTAATCATTCCCTAGCTTCTTGTTCTGCTTAATTTTTTCTATAGTTCTACCACCACCTGGATACTATATATATATTTGCTTATTGTCTACTTCTTATCACTAAAATATAAACTCTGTGAAGACAGGAATTTCAGTCTTTTTCTAATCACTACTGTGACATATCTGATGTAGAACAGTGCCTGAAATATAGTAGGCTGCCAGTAAATACTTGTTAATTGAATGAACAAATGAATTTGTCTCTATATAGTTATCATTGACCAGTCCTTTACATGGTAAACTTGATATTTGCAAGAGGTACTTTTTGCGACTTTCACATACCACCAAATTCATATATCCCACTAGTAGTCGTATACTCTTTTTTAATTTAATTTTTTCAGTGTATATTCTTTCTTCATTTTAACTATCTGTGAATGGAGTAATACCTATATTCTGTAGATTAAATGGGGATGGGGAAAGCTGAGTCGGTTTTTATTATTAGCTCCTTGCTCATCTCTGTTTGGTTCAGGTGCCTGTAGGTGATCAACCTAAGGATATTGAGCTTCAAATCAGAGAGCTCATTCTTCGGTTCATCAGTAATCCAAATTCCATCATCCTTGCTGTCACTGCTGCTAATACAGATATGGCAACATCAGAGGCACTTAAGATTTCAAGAGAGGTAGATCCAGATGGTAAGGACAGATGTTAATATTGAATGAGATGGTTGGTTAACAGCGATAAATCTACCCTCAAGAAAGGAATATTTATTTTTAAAAGTAATTTTTCTAGCTATTAATACAGATTTAAAAAATAATGTGTTCCTGTTTTGCTTATAATTGCAAGTAGATATTCTGATGGAAAATAAAGTTTTAATGGGTTAGTTCCTGTATAGTCAAGGCAAAAACACTTTATATAATGTCCATATTTGTAATGGTTGCCTAATGATTTTAAAATTATAACAGGTTTTGCAAAGAGGGTTGGTTTTATATAAATAAAATGATTTAGATTTTTGGATGGCTGACTTCTAAGAATAACTATCATAAAAGGTAATCATTGTAGATTGTTATGGTATAGTAGAAAATTATGGTATCTATATTCTGCAGAGGTAGGAAACATTTAGACAAGGCAGAGGAAATTCTTAGAAATAAAGGTAAACTCCTTTTATGAAGCATTCATAACCCCAAGGATTATGTTCATAAATCCTCATTTAGTTCATACCGTGGATCAGTTTATGGGATTTGACTTATGCTGTGGTGTGCATCTCTTAGTATATATAAAATGGCAGCTTGTAGGTGAGTAGTTCTTATTGCTGCTGATAAATGTGGCTTTGCCCCATATAGGAGCTAATTTTTTTTCCCTGAGTATTTGGAGGTTCTGTGAGCTGTGAGCTGTGCCATGTTTCTTTTTGCCTGCTTTGAAATAAAAATTTGGTAGGAAAAGTTAATGCTAAAACTACTAATTAAAATAACCATAACAGTAACTTTTTAAAGTTTTTTTTTTTTAAATTTCAAGTTTTTAAGAAATTTTTATCTCACATCATTTTAGATTAAAAGATAAGCCCTAGGGGCACCTGACTGGCTCAGTCAATAGAGCATGTGACCCTTTTTTTTTTTTCTTTCTTTTTAAAGATTTTATTTATGTATTTGAGGGTGGGAGGGAGGGAGGAAGGAAGCAGGAAGATGGAGGAGAGGGACGAGCAGACTCCCCACTGAGCCTGGAGTCTTGACAAGGGGCTTGATTTCATGACCCTGAGATCATGACTTGACTGAGCCACACAGGTGTCCCTAAAATTAGTATTTATTTATCTGTTTATCTTTTTATTTTTATTTATTTGACAGACACAGCGAGAGAGGGAACACAAGCAGGGGGAGTGGCAGGCAGAGGGAGAAGCAGTCTTCCCACCAAGCAGGGAGCCTGATGCGGGGCTCGATCCCAGAACCCTGGGATCATGACCTGAGCTGAAGGCAGACACTTAACGACTGAGCCACCCAGGTGCCCCTAAAATTAGCTTTTAAAAAGTATTTGTCAGCAAAGGTTAGAAAAGCATTACCAAAATGATGAGAGGTAATGTTAAGGAGAGATTATAGATGAGGATTTTTCTTTATTAATACCTAATAGCTTTATTTAATGGATCATTTTCTTTTCTTTTTTTTTTGCATTTACCAGGTCGCAGAACCTTAGCTGTAATCACTAAACTTGACCTTATGGATGCGGGTACTGATGCCATGGATGTATTGATGGGAAGAGTTATACCAGTCAAACTTGGAATAATTGGAGTAGTTAACAGGTTAGAAATCAAGAATAGAATAAGAATTGCAGCATTCCCATTTCAAAGCAAATCTGAATTTTTAAAAGCATTTTAAAATGTGATATTATCCCTCTTTTCCCCTTTTACTATAATCTTGGTATTGCTAGGAATTCATTGCTGTAAAGGAAGAAAAGAGATTCACTAAACCCTCCTGTGGGCATTTGTAATGGAAAGTGTTTTTAAAGTAAGTAGTCCATAAAATGGGATGAAAATTTAATAGCCAGGCTTGAAAAATTTCTGCCTATTATGTTATACACGAGGAGTGCACTGGATAAGGAAAGAAAAATGTATTTAATTTGCACATGATTAAGAAAAAGTTTGTTAATATGGTGGAAGGATTTTAATAAATTCGTTTAACAACTCTGGCATTAGTGATCTATCATAATTGCCAGGATGTGACTTGGAGAAATTTTATTAAAGGTCCTAATTATAAATAGCTGGTGTCAGTAACTGTGGAAAGGAAACTACTACTGAGTGTCTAATTATGCGTTAGACCCTCTCCTGTGAGCAGTTTGGAAATGGTATCTCTTTGAACCTTTACAACATCTCTGTGAGGTAGAAATTGATATTTATTTTATAATCAGAAGACTCAAGTTATACATCTACCAAAGTCACATGGTGAGAGCAGATTTCAAATAAGATCTCTCTTAGTCGAAAGCCTTTATAAAGTAGGAAGCACTGAAATTAATAGATCTGGGTTCTACTCCTAGTTTGTCCATAAACTAGATATATAACGTGGATTTAAATGACACCTGGGTCTCTGGCCTTTTCTAAATGAAAATGTTTTTACTAAGTGATACCGAAGACCCTTTACAGTGTCTGCTTTATTCGTATGTCCTACGTCACCCGTACTTCAGTTTTTTTTTAACCCTCCACTCTCTTTTCATGGTATAAAACTGCTGGTATTTGTAAATGACTGCTCTTTAAGTAATTATTTTTGGTAGAAATTAGTTGTCTGTATATGGGTAAAATACACAGCTGGTTGTCATAGTCATACTTTTTTTTTTTTTTTAACTTGTCTATCCCTGTTACTTCAGAGTACTGCTTTTGACCGTAGTTAATGGTACCAGTGAGGCATAAACTATTCAGGTAGTACAAGTCAAAGAGTGACTCTTGGTGGAAGTGCTTAACATGTAACCCTGGGTCGATTAATGTCCCTGAGCCTTGCATCCTTTGCTGTAAAATGGGCCAATACCTACTGCATAGAATTATTACAAGAATTAGATAACACAGTCCGTATCAGGCATTACTACAGTGTCTGGTGCTACCATCATCATCTAAGGTATGCAGAGGACACAGTTGACTTTTAATTAAACGGTTTGTTATTTTTCAACCTTAGGAGCCAACTGGACATTAACAATAAGAAGAGTGTAACTGATTCAATCCGAGATGAATATGCATTTCTTCAAAAGAAATACCCATCTCTGGCTAATAGAAATGGAACAAAGTATCTTGCTAGGACTCTAAACAGGTAACGTTTTTACTCTTGGAAAATGAGGTCCTTTTGGTTTGCCAGTAGGTGTCTGAAAACTCTGATTTTTTAGTTCCTTATATTTTCATAACTTTCTTATGTGTATAGTTTCAAGTTTTGTTTCTTGTACAGTAGGTCCTTAAAATGTAGATGTCTTCTTTTAATTTGGGTGGTTGGCATTAAATTATGTATTCTAGGAATGCTCAAGGGAATTTTTAAAATGTCTTAATTATGAAGTTCTTGGCAGTCAATTTACTTTTGGTAAGAGAACTAGATAGCAGATGACTTAATTTCCACTTGGAATTTTAGGAACTAAACTAAAATGTATAATTTTCACATAAACGATTCTTATTTTAAATGATATCTTCTGTTCTTATTCATAAAAAGAATTTAAAGTATATACCTTGAATCCTTAATACCCACTTATAGTAGAGGGACTGGAAAACCTTTCTAGGTAATTTATAAATGACTGAAATGAAAGCTGTTTTCTCTTACTTTTATCTTATTCCCTAAATAAATTCAAGGCTGATGGACTTGGATCTTAGTAAGATTGATTTTTCACTGTGCTAAGTACTCATAAAAGAGAAGTCAGAAATCAAAATTTTTTCAATTTATATTTGGTTCTCTAGCAAATGCTACATTTTGGTGGGTTGAAAGCAAGTTTAAAAAGTGTTAACCAAGTTGTCTTTGTTCATGTCATTTTTTTTCAGTAAGTATTTACTTCTAGCCTAAGATTGCATTATTTCCTGGCAGGACAAATTATTTGACAGCTTTTATCATTACTGGCATTTTAAAATTTTGACTTGTTTGGGCCTTCAAAATACAGTTTTACTTTAAAATCATTTCTTTCTAACCTTTTATTAGGTTACTGATGCATCACATCAGAGATTGCTTACCAGAGTTGAAAACAAGAATAAATGTTCTAGCTGCTCAGTATCAGTCTCTCCTAAATAGCTATGGTGAACCTGTGGATGATAAAAGTGCTACTTTACTCCAACTTATTACCAAATTCGCCACAGAATATTGTAACACTATTGAAGGAACTGCAAAATATATTGAAACTTCAGAACTGTAAGTAAAAAATTTCTCTGTGGATTTGGTTACCTGACCTGCTGGGTTACTTTAGCTTTTTTTTCTTTTTTAAAAGATTTCATGTATTTATTTGACAGAGAGATCACAAGTAGGCTGAGAGGCAGGCCAGGCAGGGTGGTGTGGGTGGGGGGCCGGAAGCAGGCTCCCTGCTGAGCAGAGAGCCCGATGTGGGGCTCAATCCCAGGATCCTGAGATCATGACCTGAGCCAAAGGCAGAGGCTTAACCCACTGAGCCAACCAGGCGCCCCTTACTTTAGCTTTTGTAACAGTGACTTTAACTCTGAGATTTTCTGATTGTGATTTATAATCTGCAGAAGAGTATTTTGCAGAAATAATAGGATCATGTCTGATGTATGTGTGAAAATGCTTTGTAAACAGGTAAAGCACAGTAAAAATTTCAGTTTTTTTTTTTAACAAGACTTTGATAAACACTTAAAAATACTTGGTAATTTAACTTTTTAAATGTTTATTTCTTTAATAGACACACTTTTTCATGAAAGAAAAAAAATGCAGATAAGAAGAATAGAAGGACAAAATTACTTAATTCCACTATCCAGAGTCCCTGTTAATTTTGGCATGAACCTAGACATTTTTCTGAGCATCTGTAAAATATTATAAATGTCTGTATTTCAAAAATCGGATCAAAATACTGTCATGCTATTTTGGAATTATATCCTCAAATCAACTTGTCATAAACAGCTAATATTAGTTATACATTTCTATAATCAATCTTTAAAATTTACATGGCATTGGGGCGCCTGGGTGGCTCAGTGGGTTAAGCCTCTGCCTTCCGTTCAGTTCATGATCTCAGGTTCCTGGGATCAAGTCCGGCATCGGGCTCTCTGCTGAGTAGGGAGCCTGCTTCTGCCTCTCTTTCTGCCTGCCTCTCTGCCTACTTGTGACCTCTCTCTCTGTCAAATAAATAAATAAAATCTTTAAAAAAAAAAAATTTACATGGCATTTTACTTTTTAGATATACTCTCTTTTCTTAAACCAGTACTCTACTACTGATAGATCATTTTTATTCATACACATATGTAAACAGTGTTGTGATGGACTATTTTGGGGGCATGTATTGGAGTAAACCCTTAGGCTAAATTCCTAGAATGGAATTACTGTGTCAAAGGGAAAGAACATCCTAAATGTCTCTTACTGTTGCCATACTGTTAGTAGATTGTATTGTTGTACTACTAGCAATATATAAAAATGTTCATTTCTCTGAACTCACTTAAAAAAAAAAAGAGAACTTTTAATTTTGAAGTAATTATAGACTTCCAGGAAGTTGCAAATAAATGTACCTTCCTAGGTCCTGTTAATCCTTTACCCCATCTTCCCCTGTGTTGATATTTTGCGTAACTGTAGTACAGTAACAAAATGAGAAAATGGAATTGGTACAACCCAGAGCTTATTCAGATTTCACCACTTGTCAAATTACACATACACTTGTGTGAGTATTCTACGTACTTTAGTGTGACCCAGGTGGCCTTTTATGTGCGTTAACTCCATAAAGACACTATTGAACTCATTGGTGAATGGTTGGTTATTTTATATATTTTTTGCAACTGGAGTAATACTTATTTTTTTTTAACTTGGCAAAAAGTCAAGTGCTACATTTTTAAAAATAAAACCTCAAACAAACATTACCCATCACAAAGGGTCTCGCAATAGTACAAAACATCCTACTTAAGATCTTTTTTTTAATATATATAAGTTGGCTTAAAATGATAGATGTTCTGTGAGAACATATATATAGAGGGAGAGATACATACATATATATATATATATATATATATGGCATATTGAGGGAAATAGAGATTACTAAGGTGAACCTTTAAAAAGCTTAGTGGGTAAGGTAAAACAAGGTAACACAAGGCACGATTATGTGGCAAACAGGCGTATAATCAAGTATTTTTATTTAAATACTTATGTCTCCAGAAATGTGCTTATAACATATATGGGGAGTTTTATAAGTAGTTAATAAAGCAAATGATCTGTGTAATCATTTAAGCCTTTAAAACATTGAAGAGAGACCAGTTTACATTTCTCTCAAGACTGGGAGCATGCCATAGCTAAAGATGTGTTTAGGTTGGGCTCTGAATAGAGTTTGGAGAGGCAATAAGTAGAAGGGTGTTTTAGGCTTTGGTACAGGAAAGAATACAGGGTGTATGTTGAGAATCGCATGTACAATGATGGGATATAACAGGAGGTAAGGCAGCAAAGGCATCTAAGAACAAGACTGTGGAAAGTCCGATATTTTCAGATTTTGGAGAATTTCCTGCTATAGAAGTAAAACACTTTCAGTCAGAGGAGTACCCATTTTAGAAGGCTAATTCTAGTCATTATGGAAGACTATTTGGAGAAGGGAAAGGTTGGAGGCAGACTGGTAATTTAACCATTTTAAGTATAATTTAATGGCATTCAATTAAAGTCACATATTGTCCAATCATCAAATGGTGTCTTTCTAAAATTTTTTATCACCCCAACAGAAACTGTGTATCCATTAAGCAGTATCTCTCTGTTTCTTCCTCCTCCCGTCCCTGGTAACCTCTAATTTACTTTCTGTCTCTTTGAATTGGCTAATTCTAGATATTTTGTATGAGGGGAATCATACAATATTTGTCTTTTTGTGTCCAGCTAATTTCACTTAGCATAATGGTAGGCTAGTACCTTCTGCTTAGACAACGGTAAGAAAGTAGTGCTTAATAGAGAGTTAATTTGTTTAAAGCAGAAGCAAAATGTAGCCCATTGGCTAAGAAGGATTTTTACATTTTTAAATGGTTGAAAAAAATTCAAAGAATATTTCATGATGTTAAAATTATGCAGAATCCATATTCTAGTGTGCATAAGTTTTACTGGAACACAGCTGTGCTTATTTGTTTATATTTTGTCTATAGCTACATTTTTGCTCAGTGGTAGAGTGGATTCGTTTTGGCAGAAACTGTATGGCCTGAAAAGCCTAAACTATTTACTGGCTGGCCCTTCTTCATACAAGGAAAAGTTTGTCCATTTCTCCTGTAAATTCTGAATAAACAAATAAGATACATTTATTGTCTTTTAAGAAGCTCGTAGTCAAAGAAAACTAGGGCAGAGAAAAGATGTTTAGTAGTTCCTAGTAAACTGATGTTTTTTGGCAGAATAGTTACTGTGTGTGTGTGTCTTTGCGTGCAAACACTACATATACATTTGACAAATGCCTTTTGTGGAATGACTCTTCTTCTTTAGAAGAAAAAAATTAGAAACTCGTTCATAATGGAGTTGAGAACACATGGAAATGATCGAAATGTAATTATTAATCTGACACTGTCTCAGAAAACAAGACCTTAAAATCTTAATAGGAAGACTTTTAACTTGTAGCTTCTTTCCCTTTTAGTAATAATGGAAACCATGTACTTCATTGCCTTTCAGATGCGGTGGTGCTAGGATATGTTATATTTTCCATGAGACTTTTGGGCGAACTTTAGAATCTGTTGACCCACTAGGTGGCCTTAACACTATTGACATTTTGACTGCCATTAGAAATGCTACTGTGAGTATACTTAATTTTTAGATTTTTTTTTTTTAAAGAGGTTAAAGGTTTATTATAATTTTAAACCAATTTTTAACCAATTTTTAACACTGTCTATTTAAATGAATTGTATTTTTGTTCTCGTACCTGATATTAGGAAGCACTTTTCATGAAAAATACTAAAAGAATCATTTATTTTAACCTAGGGAAGAACTGAAATTTTGTATAGCTGTAATAAGAGCTCAGAAATTTTTCTAGGGTCCTCGTCCTGCTTTGTTTGTGCCTGAAGTCTCATTTGAGTTACTGGTCAAGCGGCAAATCAAACGTCTGGAAGAACCCAGCCTGCGTTGTGTGGAACTGGTTCATGAGGAAATGCAAAGGATCATTCAGCACTGTAGCAATTACAGTACACAGGTAACTGCGAAATGTCTCATGTGTCGGCTGGAGTGGTACAAGACAGGAAGTGCTGGTTTCTTATGGTAGGAGGAAACATGGAAGATGGGCTAAAAATAACTTAAAATATGCATTTTCCTGATTGGAAAGTGATTTGAAGTAGTATGCTTAAATGTAGCTTAAATTCTAATTCAGTATTTCAGTGATTATTTAATTTTCCTTTAAACAAAGCAGTCTATTCTATTTTGCTTCCATCATATATAGGAGTTGTTGCGATTCCCTAAACTTCATGATGCCATAGTTGAAGTAGTGACTTGCCTTCTTCGTAAACGGTTGCCTGTTACAAATGAAATGGTGAGCTATTATTTTCACAAATCATCATTATAACCACTGTTAAAGAAGTTTTTTTGTACAGCAATAGGAGTAATTTTGAGTTTAGGCTTGTTTCCCAGTGTATTAGGAAGATAAAGAACTGAACCTCACTCTTATTTCAAAGGACACTTCAGTAATTCTGGCATAAGGTACATTTTTCTTCATATTTTAATCATTGTTAGCCTGCGGCCACAGGTTTTCATGAGAATGGAGTTATTGTTGGGGATTGTGAATAGCTTTGCTCTATTATATAGCACCACTGATCTAATGGAAAATTAGTTTTATCACCAGCCCCAGTAAACTGAGCCTTTATAGCAAGCTATTTTAACTCTGGTACATCGGGGTCATTTGGCCATTTCTAGTTTGCTGGTTTGAGGACGCAGTACTGTAATATCATGGTTGCTTGCTACTATTTTGTGGGTTGCTGCGATCTGTAAATATGCTGAAATTGGGAAGAACATGGGATAAGCATTAGAGATTGCCTTTATGTCTCTATTTGTTGGCTGACTGTTTTGTTTTGTTCCTTTTCTGGTCACTAAAAGTGCATTTGGGTCCTTGGCTCAGGAAGGTGGTGAGCCCCAATGGAGGTTTAAGGTTTACTAAGACTACAAAACCATCCCTGGAAGTGTAGAATGTGAGCGCAGCTGCTCGGATGTTTCCCTATAGCGAATGTGACCCTCAGGCTGAGAGATGCAGGGATATAGTAAGCCTGATTTCAGAGTTAGTGATAGCACGGAATCACTGGAATTTCATTTGAATAGATGCTTTTCACCTTGGTTCTTGACGGTTTCCTACTCTCCTGATACCTGAGATTCGTTAGGGCAGCACATATGAAGGAGTTCGTTTAATCTCTGCAGTGCTGGAGAAATTAATTTCAACTTTCCATTTGATTATTGTTCCATTAGGATTTCAAACCACTTTGGAGAAGTGTCTGTTCAAGTATTCTGCCCATTTTTTGACTTGACTGTTTTTGGGGTTGAGTTTGAGAAGTTCTTTGTAGATCTTGGATATCAGCCCTTTGTCTGTAGGGTCATTTGCAAATACCTTCTCCCATTCTGTGGGTTGCCTCTTGGTTTTGTTGATGGTTTCCTTCGCTTTGCAAGAGCTTTTTATCTTGATGAAGTCCCAAAGGTCATTTTTGCTTTTGTTTCCCTTGCCTGTGGAGACGTGTCTTGAAAGAAGTTGCTGTGGCCGATGTCAAAGAGGTCACTACCTATGTTTTCTTCTAGGATTTTGATGGATTCCTGCCTCACATTAAGGTCTTTCATACATTTTGAATTTATCTTTGGGTGTGGTGTAAGAGAATGGTCGAGTTTCATTCTTTTGTATATAGCTATCTAATTTTCCCAGCACCATTTATTGAAGAGACTGTCTTTTTTCCACTGGATATTTTTTCCTGCTTTGTTAAAGATTAGTTGACCATAGAGTTGAGGGTCCATTTCTGGGTTCTCTATTCTGTTCCTTTGGTCTTTGTGTCAGTTTTTGTGCCAGTACCATGCTGTCTTGGTGATCATAGGTTTGTAATATAGCTTGAAATCAGGCAGCGTGATGCCCCCAGCTTTTTCTTTTTCATCATTTCCTTGGTGATTCAGGGTCTTTTCTGGTTTCATACAAATTTTAGGATTGTTTGTTCTAGCACTTTGAAAAATGCCATTGGTATTTTGATCAGGATGGCATTGAAAGTATAGATTGCTCTGGGCAGTATAGAAATTTTAGCAATGTTTATTCTTCTGATCCATGAGCAAGGAATGTTTTTCCATTTTTATGTGTCTTCTTCGATTTCTTTCATAAGTGTTCTGTAGTTTCTAGAGTGTAGATCCTTTACCTCTTTGGTTAGGTTTATTTCAAGGTTTCTTACGGTTTTTGGTGCTATTATAAATGGAATCGATTCCCTCATTTCTCTTTCTACAGTTATATTGTTAGTGTATAGGAAAGCAACTGATTTCTGCACATTAATTTTGTATTCTAACACATTACTGAATTGCTGCACAAGTTCTAGTAATTTGGGGGTGGGGTCTTTTGGGTTTTCCACATAAAGTATCATAAGAAGACATATAAATGGCTAATAGATACATGAAAAAATGTTCAACATCATTAGTCATCAGGGAAATTTAGATCAAAAGCATATTGAGATACCACCTTACACCAGCTAGAATGGCAAAAATTAACAAGGCAGGAAACAAGTGTAGGAGAGGTTGTGGAGAAAGGGGAACCTTCTTATACTGTTGATGGGAATGCAAGTTGGTACAGCCATTTTGGAAAACAGTGTGGAGATTCACACTGTTTTCCATTTAACTCAAAAAGTTAAAAATAGAGCTACCCTATGATTCAGAAATTGCACTACAAGGTATTTACCCCAAAGATACAGATGTAGTGAAAAGAAGGGCCATATGTGCCCCAGTGTTCATAGCAGCAATGTCCACAATAGCCAAAGTGTAGAAGGAGCCTAGATGCCCTTAAACAGACAAATGAGTAAAGAAGATGTCTATATACACGATGGAATATTACTCAGCCATCACAAAGGATGAACACCCACCATTTGCATCAACATGGATGGAACTGGAGGGGATTATGATAAGTGAAATAAGTCAAAGAGACAGTTATCATATGGTTTCACTTACATGTGGAACATAAAGAATAGCATGGAGGACATCAGAAGGGAAAAATGAAGGAGGGGAGATCAGAGTGGGAGATGAACCATGAGAGACTATGGACTCTGGGAAATAAACTGAGGGTTTCAGAGGGGAAAGTGGGTGGAGGGTGGGTGAGCCCAGTGATGGGTATTAAGGAGGGTATGTATTGCATGGAGCACTGGATGTTATACGCAAACAACATAATTAAAAAAAAAAGATTTCAAACCACATATAATATTTAAACCATGTGTGTCTAATTAAAGCTGATCAATCATTATCTCAGGTCTTTAAATGTGTCCCTTACTCAAATAAAGTTAACATCTTTTATATCTGATTATGAAATGTTTCTTGTTGAATCTGAACTGAAACTTTGACATGGAATAGCAGATGATCTGAGATTTTAATAGCAAATTTACATAAAGCCTTGGAACTTAGATTTGCATCAAGGAATTTTTTTTTTCCCTAAAAAAGTACTTCTAACTATCTTACTTCCTAACCCCTTTTGAAGTGCAATCTTAGAAGCTGAGATATAAATAATTCAAAAGAGAGCAAATTATTCTGTAGCATAATATGCATCAGTTAGAATATATTTATTGAGTATTGACTCAGGCATCAGTGTCCCATACTGTCTTTTTTAGAACTGTTTACTAAGTTTTACGTTACCTAAAGTAGAATTAATTCAACATGTTTTTGTATATAGCCTAATTTTATTTTTTTCTAGGTCCATAACTTAGTGGCAATTGAATTGGCTTATATCAACACAAAACATCCAGACTTTGCTGATGCTTGTGGGCTAATGAACAATAATATAGAGGTAAATACCATTTGAATTGTCACTTTTGAGAGAAAAAAATCCGTTGTAAATCAGTTGTATCAAATTTACAGAGCATGGGATAACTGTAAAACACATGTGGACCATGTTATTGTCTGGTTACATCCCAGGATGTATGCTGAAGGCATTATGTTATGTTAAATATAATTCTCAAAACCACCTGGCAGCATTATTCTAATTTTCTGTTTACACAACTAATTCAGAGGGGATCTAGGGTTCACTGATTTAATGAATGCTCCCTTTCAGTAACTGTTGTAGTTTATTCAGGTTGAAGAGTGGAAAACTGAGTGTTTAAAATTGTTTCCATTTGGCTCTGAAAGCTGGGAAGGAAACATTTCAAGATTTACATAAATTAATACATTTTCACCTGTACCAGAGTGGCTACACTTCATGGCTCTTTTTTTCCCCATTTGAAGTGAATTTTGGAAGTTGTATAAGATCTCACATGGAGCCAAGGCTGGTGGATAAAACCGTTTATCCAGATGCTGTTTTTGTTCTCAGCTAATTTTATCCAAGAACAATAAATTTTTTGCTGCTCCTCAATCCAGTAAGACCTTAGAGTTCCCTTCTTTATAAAATTTCTTTTTATGCATATGGGTGGAGAGAATATTGTAAATGTGCAATTTGGGAACTGGAAGGGACACTAGGTCATCAGCTTCAGTCCTTTGGTTAAACAGATGAGGGCACTTAACAGTGTTACTGTAGTGCTTATTTTGCCAGGCCCTGTTGGAGGAAACAAGCACCTTCTCTCCAACAGGGATAGAGAACTATTTTTTAGCTACTTCATTGAGAGGACTCAGTATCAGAAAAAATTCCAAAATGGACATGAGTAGGGTACTTCAGGCACTTGGAAGGTGCACTAGAAAACAGTTATGTTAAAAATTAGTGTGTTTACACTATCTTAGAATAAGGGTTTAGTTCTAAATACAGAACTAAAGGTTCTATTACAGAAACCACCTTCAATAGAAAACTGATGTACCAAAGTTTCTGTAATACTGACAATGTTATTTATGGTATGATTTCTGCTAAGTTTTGTTTTGTCTTAGACAAATGAGTATGTCTGTTTTTAATGATTCCATGACTTGATCTGGATATTCTCATTAAATCTTTACAACTTTTTGAGGATAGGCAATGGCAACCGTAGACTACAAAACTGAGGGCTTATAAAGAGTTGGTAACCTGTCCAGTTAACAAAGTTAAATAAGCCAGGACTATTGTCCAGGCCAGCCAAAGTCATAACTGGTTGGTAACAGACTACGATGAGAATTTCTGTGATGAGAAATTCAGAAAATTTTTGCAGGAACAAAAGTCTCCTGCCTTTTGCTTTGTGTCCCTCTTCAAAATGTACATTTTAATTATTCTGAAGATTGTTGAAATCCACATATTTTTATCATCTAATATATTTTTTATCACTGGATTCCCTCATGAAAAAGATGAAAATCAGCCAAGTGTCTGTCAAAAAGAAAGTCTTTACACATAAAAGATCACTGTGGAAGCTTTGTTAACATCTTTTTTGCAGGTTTGAGAGTGCTCATGAAATGGTTTCTTCTTAGAAGTATTTTGACTTTACTTAATCTAAATGCTTTCCTGTGTCTTTGTCGCTGCCTGCAAGAAAGCTGGGAACACCTCCATCTTTCTCTGTTGTCCCTCTTGCCCCTGTCATGGTGCTTGATACACAGTAGGTGTTCACTGCCTGTTGATTTGAATTTAAGAATTTCTTAAGCTTTGTACCAGAGCTACCTGATAGTACTGGTAAATTAGAAGAGTGGGCGGTCAATCAGTCTGTTAAATTAGGTTACAGAAAGGACTGTTTTCACCACGTTTATTTCTGGGAGATGGTTTAGGATAAAGAAAATGAACATCCTTAAAGGATAACCTCCACCATAGGTATTTAGGGTCTTATGTGTGGGAGTTTTATGAATTTAACACACAGGTATGCTGGTTAGAGTGATTTTTTTTTAAAGGACTAGTTTTCTGTCATCTGTGCATTTAAGATTCCACATGGTGTGCTGGAGGGTTGTGCACACATTTATGTGGGGACAGTTTAAATCAGTGATTTCCAGTGGGAAAGGCAGAGATGTTGGCCCATCGCCCCTCAACTGAGAATCCCCCATACAGGAGCCACTGTTACTGACGTTGTATTGTATCCTTCAGGTGTGTTGGGCAGAAAAAAAAGATTGAGAAGCATTGGGTTAAATGATTTCTTGTTTGTTTTAAAATAAAATTGTGGCATGAGTCCCAACAGTGAGAGGATATACTGTAAGTTATTCCACACTTTTCAATTCAGCTGAACATTTTTTAGAAGGCTTCTCTCTCAATGCTCTGATAATCACTTTGGTTTTGTTGTGTTGTGTTTTATAGGAACAAAGGAGAAACAGGCTAGCAAGAGAATTACCTTCAGCAGTATCACGAGACAAGGTAAAAAAAAAAAAAAAAAAGTATTTTAAAATCATATTCCCAATATGCAAAGGATTGGTAAGCCTTAATACGACTCAGTTCTAGGAGTAGTCTTTTCTTTTTCTCCCTTTACTATTCCATTGGAACTGTTTCATTGTTTGAGTAAAGGTCTGCAAGTTTAAAAAGAGGTTGAGTAATTTAAAGATAATGGTATCTTGAATACATTAGAAAAAATGCTTAAAGGTGGGTTTTAAGCATTAAGCTTTTATTTTTTTTTAGAAGATTTATTTTGCGGGGGGGGGGGGACAGAATCTCAAGCAGACTCCATGTGGAGCACAGAGCCCCATGGGGGCTCGATCTCAAGACCATGAGATCATGACCTGAGCTGAAACCGAGAGTCAGAGGCTTAACCAACTGAGCCACCCTAAGTATCAAGCTTTTAAACCAAAGTTTATGGTGACTTTATCAACTTTGTAAAATTAGTTGAAATGACCAAGAAGGTATTTTGGAGAGGGAAGGTAAATATGCACATAATAGATTTTAGTTTTCTATAAACAGTTACATAATTAAAATATGTGTATACAAATCTGTTACCTTGAATTCTTTACCAGAAAAGATCTTAACAGATCCTAGAAATAAAAATGAAGCTTTTGAATTTGGATTTTCCTTAGTTATTCATCTGAAGAAGGCTTTTAACAAAGGTGATAACAGTATAGTACAAGGAGTAAGGAAGAACAAACAATTTTAGATCTCATGGTTGCTTTTGTTTCTCATGGTTACTTTACTATTTTGATACAGAGAAGAACAATTTACACTCATAGAATGTTTCTGAATGCATTTTTGGCATCCTTGATTTTCTTTCCCTGCATTTTTTGCCTTTAGTCTTATAAAGTTCCAAGTGCTTTGGCACCTGCCTCCCAGGAGCCCTCCCCTGCTGCTTCTGCTGAGGCTGATGGCAAGGTCTGTTCTGATTCTTAATCTAAGCCTGCATGCCTAGTTGTTTGGTGCAACATAATCATCTGGAAACAACACACTGTACACTGAACATTAATGTGGGATGTTGTGCTAAGGTTAGATCATTTTAGTTTAATAGGAATTTTAAATTATATAACAATGTATACTTCATAAATTGTTGACATGCCTTTCTTTTGCTTACAATATAGAAGATGCGCACGGAAAGATAATTTAAAGAGGAAATTATCCTGCACTTTTGAAATTCAAGCTATTGGTATTTAAATTTTGCTTGTTAAACTGCATGTTTTAACGTATCTTTTAACAGTTAATTCAGGACAGCAGAAGAGAAACTAAAAATGTGAGTCTCTTGCTTCAGAATGGAAATGTACCTTTGGTTCTCACTGAAACACTGTCTTCAAAACCACTGAAGCTCTTTGTATAATAGCATCTATCTCTTGTCTGTGTTCCATTTTTTAATGTTTCTCTTACCTAACTAATCCTTCTAAGATGGCATTAGTTCTAGTTTTAACATTTTTTTAAATAACAAAAGGCTTTCCTCCTAGTTTTGACTTTAATATTGTGGTAGGGAATTAAGATTCCAGAGGTGGCAGTTAATACTTCTGGACATTTCCTCTTTAAAGGGTCAGAGATCTGCCCGGGACTAGTGGATCAGCCTCTCCTGCTGCTTGCCTGCACGGCCACGTGGTCTGCCTTGTCACCCGAAACGCGGGGCTTAGCATGTGCCTCAGCAGCTTAAGCAAATTCGGAACAAACAGGGACTGGGAGAGTTTGAGACTGTCAATTCTTGATAACCTGTTTGGGGGAAAATGAGAGAATCAGTAAATTATTCAGACCTTCCTCTGTTTTTTTTTCCTGCCTTTAGCTCCTTTCCTCACTTACTGTCCAGGTTTAAGATTCTGAACCTCCTAAGTTTATAAATGTCTTATCCTCTCTCAGCCCGCTGTGCTCAGGTTCTATAGAGAACCGTCCAAATCATTGCCTTAAGTTTTATTTCACTTGTGGCGTCACCCTGAGTTGCCTTCCTTTCCTTTTTATCATTCAGGCATCTAAACAACTAATTACTTATTTTAAGATTAGTTTATAATATACTGCTATGTTTAGACATAGCATATCTTAACTGATGTATTACAGGCAAATGTGGGCCAGTGTTTTGATTCAGAAGGATACCCCAAACTGACTTTTTAAAAATCTTTCAGGTGTGCAGTATTATAATTTGACATCTGTATGCACTACAAAGCAATCACCCCCAGAAGTCTAGTTAAGCATCCATCACCCTACAATTGAACCCCAGCTTGTTCTTGATCTAGGATTTTGTTTTTGGAAAACTGACATATTTTTAACACTTGCCATAACACCCTTCGGTTAAAAGTCTGGATGGCACCTTAATTCCATTTTAGATTGTAAGATCTTTTTAAAGAGCATGTAAAAACATTCCTAAATGTTGATCAGTTTTTCCCATTATTCTAAACATTTTTCTTTTATAAATCAACTGACATATCCTAGAAAAGAAGGTGCAGAAGTACTGGTGATTACTAGATTTCTTTCAGTAGATCCTTAAGAACATAGACATGGAGGAAACTTACCTTGGGTTTATGTCACGTTCCACATTTTAGGCAGCTTAAAGTCAGTATCAGCCTAAGAACTGTTAGTGTAAAGAGTTCGTAGTTGTATCCTATAGTATTTCGTTGACTATTAAAAATGTAAACTAACTTGGAAAATAGATAAACTGAAGTTTGAGACAGGAGTTCATAGGACTTTTGGAAAGATCAAGTTCAACAGTGTGTAAGGTTACTTTGAAAAAATTAAACTGACTGGCAGTTCGGTTTTCCTTTGTGCTTTTAATAAGCACTCTTAAGGGCAGTTTATACTTTTCCCACAATTTACTGTTGGAGGGGTTGGCAAGGAGGAAGAATTTTAAAGTTAGCGAACAATAAAGAAAAGTTAAATCTATGGGCTGAGGCCTTCCAAAGCAAAGACAACAGAACCTCTTATTTATGATAGCTCAGGTTGCCAGTTACACATGCCACATGCCATCTTTTTCTGACCCTGTTATGTCTGAATAAAATTCCAGATGGTACTGGATGTGTGTTCTCCTTGTCAAAGAAGATGAACTTTAAGTTAACATCAGATCGGATACAGTTGGAATAGGTTTTGGAACATGTTCTTTTCAGGTTGCATCTGGAGGCGGTGGGGTTGGAGACGGTGTTCAAGAACCAACGACAGGCAACTGGAGAGGAATGCTGAAAACTTCAAAAGCTGAAGAGTTATTAGCTGAGGAAAAATCAAAGCCAATTCCAATTATGCCAGCCAGTCCACAGAAGGGCCATGCTGTGAATCTGCTGGATGTGGTAAGCCATACGAATGGGTTACACACTAAGAAGATAACCGAATTACTAGGAAAACACTTCAGAAAAACTAAAGGAACTAAAAGTCACAAAAACTTACTAAACTTTTAACCGTTTCAAAATGGCACAAAAGTGAAATTTTTTTCCTTCCCTCCATTTAGCCTGTTCCTGTTGCACGAAAACTATCTGCCCGTGAACAGCGAGATTGTGAGGTCATTGAACGACTCATCAAATCATATTTTCTTATTGTCAGAAAGAATATTCAAGACAGGTTAGTACTATAGTACTAAATCAGACTCTAATACTGCTCAGTTATTTCAGAATCTGTTGTAGAAATACATGTGTTTTAAAAATTTTAGGCTTTTATTCTAAATGAATGGATCATCTGGTTTGGTTTTGCAGTGTGCCAAAGGCAGTAATGCATTTTTTGGTTAATCATGTGAAAGATACTCTTCAGAGTGAGTTAGTAGGACAGCTGTACAAATCGTCCTTATTGGATGATCTTCTGACTGAATCTGAGGATATGGCACAGCGCAGGAAGGAAGCAGCCGACATGCTGAAGGTATTATTGTCAGCGGTTTTGAGTTTTCACAGTTGGGTCGTGGATACAAATACTACATTGTTAAAAATGCATTCTTATCCTTGGAGATAGATAGTCCTCCTATAAGGGCTAATCTTTTTTTCCGTTGGTACTTGATTAGACGTTTAGATTCAAATTCCAGAGAAGATACTGGTTAATTTAAAGCTACCACATATAAAGTAGAGTGATTATGCCCACATAATTCAGATTTTTTTTATATCAAGAACTTAATAAGCATCTACAGCTTTTTCTTTTTTAATATAGGCATTACAAGGAGCCAGTCAAATAATTGCTGAAATCCGAGAGACTCATCTTTGGTGAAGAGAACTATAGAATATGGGGACTTTGTTGACTCGAAATATGCTAGTTACTGCCTACTTGAGTAGAATTTTATTTATGAACTCCTGTGTATTACAATGGTATGAATCTGCTCATGTGAAGAGACTGGCTATAAACTGAAAATTTTACTCTGTATTGTAAAACAAATCATACAGTTAATCCAAATAATAAATGGCTGTTTCTAAAGTTGCCCAGTACCTATAAAATACATCAAGTCTTTCTTGTGACCATTTCCTTTGAACTTAAAAAGAGCTGTTAATGTTCTAGTTGTGCAAGCAGTTTGCCTGTGGATAAGATGACCTGTGTAATCTGTTAGTAGTCTTAAAGCTGCTGCCCTAGTCCTGCAAGAAGAATGCACAAGACACCATTTCCTACAACTGTAATGCATGCACAATATAAACTGGTCTGGCTTTGAAAGATGTGAGTTGACAGGTTACTCACAGTCATTGTATTCCACCTGTCCTTTGATTTATAGTTTTACTGAGCTTTGCTGCAGCCTTTGATGTGTTAGTAAGAAAGCTGAATGCACAAGAAGGTCTGGAACATTGACAGTGACGCAGTGTGCGTGTGTAGCTACGCAGCCCTTCCACTTCTGGGCTCACGCTACCCTAGTGCGTTAAAAATCAAAGTATCTTTGATCCTTTCTTAAACCTGGAAGGATGAATTATATTTGAAAATCAAGTCTAGATGATTTTTAATGCAGAACAATATAGTAATTCAGATCCATCTTTAAATTAGATCACTTACACCATGTCCCAAGATTCACTTGGAGCTGGGACTTAAAACCAAATCCTGTGGTGATCATTGAAGTGTATCTTCTCTATTAGTTGGTTAAAAAAAAAAGTTACTTTTGCTTCACACCAACAAAATACATTAGAAAATACTCTATTTTAGAGTGGAACACTATATATATAGTGGAACTCTATTATAGAGTAGAACTCTATAATCTAAAGAAAAATACCTGGACACAGCCACACATCCGAAGGCTTAGGCTACTAAAATGCATTCAAAGAGGTTGGGGGTGAGGTTTAGAACATATTCACATTTTATTAAAATTCCCCAGGTGATTCTTGATATGAATTACATTAAAAATTTTAAGATACAAGTCAAAATCCTTAAGGCATTTAGCTCCATCTCTGACAGATACTATATTTCCATAATATAGAATTTACTGAACATGTTAACCTTTCTCCTAAGTTATGACATTTATGAAGAACTCCTGGCAGGGAAAGCAAGTCTGGTAACTTGAGCTTACGGTACCCATTTACCAGCAAACAACAGGCTCAGCAACTGACCTCAACCATGAACAGATTCAATCTTCTCTAATATGGTACTCCTTTGAATCTGTGAGCAGTACCAATCTGGAGAGAATGCACACTACCTAAACGTCTGTTAGCACACACTCTGAAGTCACTCTGCCATTCTTCAACCTCAGTATAGCCATCTATGACTGACTTACTTCAGATACATCAGATGACTCCCATTTCAGCCTTTGAAATTTGTAAGGGGGCGGGGAACTTAACAGGGCACCATTCTCCATATCAAACATATTTCAAAATTGGAAATGTTAACCTTTAAAGATAGGTTACGGTAATGTACTTGCTGGCACTAGACACCTTGTACAAGAAAAGCAGAGGCAAGAAAGGTTTGGAAAGTTAGAAAACCTTCCTTTGTTGGCTCTCAAACTGAGTGAAGCTCTGATATGTTTAGACGATCTCTGACATTTACAGTGGACACCTGTATGTTCTTGCTATGTAAATAAAATTGCTGGTATGAAATGACATTAAAGTTTTGTCAATAAATGAATTCTTCTTAACTTTGCTCCCAGAGAAAGGTTTAGATAAACTATAGTTTAACACATAACATAAATCTAATTGGAACATAATACAGCTTGTACTGTATAAAAGTTTTACAAATTTTTTCCTGTTCTCACAATTCAGAGATTATTACATCTCCAGTTTCACACATAAAGACAGTGATTTGTTCCATGTAATCCAGGTAGTAAATGCTTAGAATTTCAACACTACATGCTTTGCTGCCTATAAGGTTTTCTAGAAGGAATCAGATTGTGAACCATTTTGTATTTGTGTGTTTCACTTGGTCCTCAGGGAAATATACTGATATTACCGATTTTTGAGATGTGGAAACAGTTCTAAGAATTGACTTGCCTAATGTATAGAGAGCTTAATTAGGTCTGGATTTTAAGTCTGGAAAACTTCCCTTACCTGAATTCCTTAGGATGTTCTCCTGTGATTGAATATTGGTATAATATTTGCCTCTGTTTTTACTCTAGTTACTTTTCAGTTTATCTCAAGTTGCAGTCTGCTTGGAGACAGATGCTGAAACTTAAAGCTAAGTTTCCAAATTTATGAAATACTGCTGCCTCAGTAATTTGGCAAAACAAAGCTGTGAGTAAATTTAATTATACTGAAACACAGGCAAGGGACTAAACTCAATTAGAAACCTTCTGAAAAGTATGGATTTTTGTTCTTTGAAAGTAAAGTTTCTACTAGAATCTCTACTGCCAACTATGGCTTAATGTATGTGATACTGTCTTCTTAAGGAGAACTGGATTTAATCAACAAAAAATTCAGAAATTTACAAGTTTCCAATACTGGTTTTCACATTTCTAATGTGAACACTAGAGGCCCTGCTGGTGTCCGTGAGTCAGATCAGGGAGATAAACGCCTGATATAAAAGTATCCATGAGTCCTTATGCCACCCTCTTTTTCACTGTTCCTCATCATCTCTAAAAAGGGAACAAAAAGGATAGGATAGTTCTTCCATGAAATAGAATTTTTAAAAAAGAGATTATCCCTGGCAATCATAGTTCTATGGTAGTCCTTAACACCTGCAGCTCAGGAGATAAAATACCGCATTATTACACCAGCACTTGTCTTAACCACCCTGTGGAAATAAGAAAGTTACTCACACTCTGGGGCCTAGAGAGTACTCCATTCTCTATGGTTTGACTTACATGAGCAAAAGTGTAAGTTCTGGAGCCAGCCTTTGGTACATCTTAGGAGATGGGTAAGTTTGAACCACCTGAAGGATTTTTCATCATAGCTGAAGCCATTTTATAATGTAGAAATTCCTTTTTCCTATTTTTAGTAATGAAAGTCCATTCTTAAGAATATGTTGTCCAACAACCAAAACACACTCAGGATTCGTTACTTGTCTGTGATTAATACTGACTCCACCTTCTGTTATCATCCGATGCCTAAAAATAGAAATGTTTAATTAGAATCATTTGACTTATATTGCAGAGGCTCTGCAACTGAAACCACTTAGCAGTGAACTGTTACCTTCATGTTCACTCTACTAGATTCTGCCTCCCTCAAATGCTTTTCGAAAAGGAGCGGATTTAAGGCATAAGTTTCTCGTTTAGTGGAGAAAAATCTAGGATATTTCATAGCTCTAACACAGAACTATTCAGTTGGCAGTGGTTTAAACATGAATAGCAGAATCACCTGGAGAGTGATTCCTCACTCACAGAAACGAAACCTCCAGAAATACAAAGAGGACAATGCTGCTTTTTGTGAGTTCCCATGAGATACAAGTCGCAACTATGTAGTCCTGTTATAGAAATCTTTAGGAAACTTATGAAACTGGTAAATCATTGGAAATTATATTCTGAGACTATGCAAATAATAGCAAATTGTTAAGATTTTGAGAATTTTTTAAAAAGTGAAACGGGCCGATTTCAGAGATGGAATATCAGTAGCTTATCTAATTCCAGTCTAGTAACAATTTTTTTGATGGTGTATGTAAATAGGTTTTACTTATATTTACTTATATTACTGCCCAATTCATTCAACAAACATTTATAGAGCCTTTACTATATGCTAAATATAAATAGTACTGGAAACTAGTGGAGAGAGCCAGACTATTCCACAGGGATTAAATGCTGTCACCGGTAGGAAAGATGACTCTGGGTGCACACTGGGTTGGTGGGGGAGCTGGAAATTGTCCTGAAAGAAGAGACATGGAAACTGGGATGGTGATTAGCAGTTACTTCCACAAATAGGGTGAGGAAACATAGGGAGTAGCTGGAAAGAAGCAAAAAGAGAAGAAAAGGTCTAGAGCATGAAAGGCCTTGAAAGTCCTTGTGAAAAGCAAATGTTCATTTTCTCTTATCTGAATGTTACCAAATGACAAAGAAACCACTACTACACATGGTTTCATAAAACTCAACAGTTTTCTATTTAAGGACAGATTTCTTTCTCTTAGGAAGTGTTACTTTGGTCTGTTTGCTATAGTTTCCAGATCATGATCTCATTTTGCTTAAATGACAATCTTATTTAGCTTATACAATCTAAAAAAATGTCAATATTAAGAACTCTGTCTAAATCAATGATATGCTGTCATCCTAAGTCATGGTAAAATTTCCAGTATCAGTAAATAAACCATTAGAAAAGTTCAGAAGAAAATAAAAAATGCTTCCACAGTAAGGAAAATCCTTAGAACCAGTGACTGACTCTGGGGAGGTATATGGCACCACCCCCAATCCAGTGTACATGAAATAATGAGCATATTAGGGAATCGGAAAGGTTGGAAGAGCAAGTGATAACAAAGACAATGGATATTTTCTCTATACAGAATAACCAAGGGCTTTTTAGGAGAAACGTAAAAATCTAAAATAACTGAAAGAAAATAGCAATTTTAACAAATGTCATTTATAAATATGACTAGGAGCTGACAAGCATAAGACTTATGGTCAAACTCCAGGAGATGAGACCCCAGGGTTTTCTGGCTAACTAGTGCTTTTCCTTCTAAATCACTCTATTTCAGTTTTAAGTGCAAAAGAATCAAGTATATGTTGCATTACTTTTTTGTGGAACGCTTTTATTCCCTCATAATACCACATAACTGAGGAAAAAGCATTCTACCTACTTCTCGATAAGAAAAATGGAATTCTCTGGGGCACCTGGCTGGCTCGGTCAGTTAAGAGTCTGCCTTCAGCTCAAGTCATGATCCCAGTGTCCTGGGATCAAGTCTCAGGTATGGCTCCCTCATCAGCAGGGAGCCTGCTTCTCCCTCTACCCCTTGCCCAGCTTGTGTGTGCTCCCTCATGCATGCGCTCTCTCCCTCCGTCTCTCTGTGTCTCTAACAAATAAAATCTTTATAAAAAAAAAAAAAGAAAAAAGGAATTCTCAAGAGGAATAGTAGGTAATTTATAATACTAGTTTTAGGAAGTAACATCATAGGCCTACTTCATTTTCAGAAATTCAACTAATATTCTTTAAAAATTTTATTTGTCAGAGTGAGAGCACATATGCACATAAATGGGGAGCAGCAGAGGGAGAGGGAGAAGTGGGCTCCCACTGAGTAAGGAGCCCAATGCAGGACTTGACCTCAGGACCCTGGGATCATTACCTGAGCCAAAGGCAGATGCTTAACCACTGAGCCACCCATGCACCCTCAACCAATATTGTAAACAGGTTGGGCAACCCCTTTACTCCCTCAAATAAAGATGATACAGACTGAATATGAGAGGGACCATGTGAATCTCTTCACTTTGGTCTCAAATTGTGACCATCCATCCCCAAGCTGACTAATCCCAGTGCATCTGCTGATCACAGTGGTCCCTTCAGTATAGGCCTTTCCAGCACTGGAGGAAAAACAGGCTTAGATTTAATGAGAGACAGTATGGGGGTACCAAAGTTTATAGAAATTTTAGAGTATTTTCAACAATAGGTACTCAGTTTTCACTTTAGTCTTGGACTAACCTAACTTCTGCCAGGAATAAGACACCCTGTGGCACTACGGAAACATACTGTGAACTGTAACATTTACTGCTGAATGAATAGTGACTGAAAGTTAAATCATCTTACCCTCGGGGACCATCTGGAATGGCATTTGCTTTGCGGCATGTATCTAGGACACTTGTTCCTGGGTCAAGAACTAATTCAGAAAATGAAGCTTCTTTAAACAACTCTCTTAACTCTTGATCAGACATGACCTCCAGGGCATCGATGCTGCTGTGATAAAGGGCTTGCGTACACCTGAAGAACACATCGAGATCCACATCACGGGAGTGCTTACCCACAGACACGTTCTAATAGCCAGTTCTAAAACAGCAACGTTTATCTTGTAGAAGTCATACTTAGCTCAAGATGATCTTTCCCACAGAGGCTATTCTAAAGCACTTAAGTCAGACACTGACAGTCCTTATAGTGGCAAATGACACGATAGCCCTAATAAATTTTCTCAAGGCCATTAACTACATAGCTTTATCCAGTGTTAGTTATTCCTAAAGGCCACCTTTTAGCAGAATCCAGCCCTTCTTGTCCATGAACGAGCTTTGTAACTTCTGCAGCGAGTCGCTTCTGAGGACCCCGCTTTTCCGGCTCTTTAACATGCAGCTGCATGATGTGGTCAATCTCTGGAAGGGGCAGGAAAGTGAAGAGCTTCAGGTACCTGTGGGACAAAATATACATTGCTGGTATATACAACACACCTAATTTTTGTCTCCAACTCCCTTTCCCTTCAAAAGACATCCTGCCTACTTTTAAATTTGCATATATTTTTAAGATTTATTTATTTTAGAGAGAGTGAGTGCATGCATGAACATGAGGTAGGGGGAGAGGGAGAAAGAGAATCACAAGCAGACTCCCCACTGAAAACAGCCTGATGCGGGGCTCCATCTCACAACCCTCAGATCATGACCTGTGCCCAAACCAGGAGTCGGCCGCTTAACCAACTGAGCCACTCAGGCACCCCTAAATTTATTTTTCATTATGAAAAATAAACATGCAGAAATGTACCCCAAATAAGTTACCCATGCACACACCAGCCAGATTGAAGATGTTACTATTTTGCCATCTTCACTTCAGATCTTTGCTTTTGAAAAGACATGAATAATATAGCTCTAGATGCCAACATGTTCCCTTCCTTGCCCAGGAACAAGCTAATCTAAATTCGTACCTACCCTTCCTAAGCATGTTTTAATACTTTTGTTTTCTGTATACGTACCCATAAATAAAAAATATATGTAACTTGAAAATTGACATTTTATCTGTAGGCTTTAAAAAAGAATCTTTTCTTGGTGAAAAACACATAAAAAGTATACAAATCACAAACATAGTTTAATGAATCAAAAAGCAAACATCTATGTAATCATCCCCCCATCCAGAAATACCTCGTTTCTTCTACTCAAGAAAACCCAGATGTTTTTACATACACTTCTGCCTTTCCAAATGAACCACTCTTCTCCCTTTCAAGGTACTCTCTTTGTTTTTCTTTAAACTTCCACTATTCTGGTATCCCTTGGTAAATGGCGTTGTTTTGTTTTGCCAGTTTTAGGCTTTATAAATGGGATCATACCGAATATATCTTCATGTTCAGCCTCTCTGGCACATCAGTATGTTTGGCAGGAGACGCATTCACGTTGCTGTGTCACCGCTGTTAATGTACAGCGTTCTGAGCGGTGACTACTTCGTGTAAAGTATTTATGTAGACAGTCTACCGTGGATATCTGCGTTGCTTCCGCTCTTGGACAGCTGCTAATAATGCGGCTATGAATATTCCCATGGAGTTCTTTTGGTGCACAGGTGTGCTCACTTCTTTTGGGGACAAACCCAGGAGAGGAACTGTCGGGTCACAGGTTTATGTGCATATTCAGGTTCAGTAACACAGACACCTACTTTTCCAGAGTGGTTCTGTAAGTGCTGCATCTATGTCTGACCCTAAGCTTTGGATTGCCATGGCCTCCATTCCAAGCCCTCCCCCACACAAATGAGCTGCTGCCTGCTTGCCACAGCTGAAGGCTCATGAGCCAGGCAAAGCAGCCAGCCACGGCCACACAGCAAGTTCCCCTTTTAGAAAGCTCTGGATAGGGGCACCTGGGTGGCTCAATGGGTTAAAGCCTCTGCCTTCGGCTCAGGTCATGATCCCAGGGTCCTGGGATCAAGCTGGCTTACCCCCCTCTCTCTGCCTGCTTGTATTCTCTGTTAAATAAATAAAAAATCTTAAAAAAAAAAAAAAAAAAAGGCAAGCTCTTGGTAATTCAGATAACTGAACACTTGAGTGAACCCATTTCTCCCTTCCCACTACCTAATTTCCGCTCTTGTGTTTTAAATCTGCCAGTGAAGAAGGGCCTCACAAAGGCCCAGGCAGAGCCCCAGGACCATGCTCTCTGCCTCTCCCTAACCGAGACCTCCAAGTGCCCCACACCCTCCAGAACTTGTAGGGAATAAGATGTTTTTCCAAGTTTCCTAATGGTTGTTGCTGAGGTGCATCCTGCAATCCTTAACAATCCTTACAATCCTATAAGAACCATGAAGGCCAGTTCAGCCACAAAAAGACTCCAGTCAGGGAAATGTGGGTAGGAGACACACAGTCCCACTATGACCCACCACTCAATGGTCACTAGGGGAGTTCTCCCTCCTCCTTACCTACCAGAATATCCTTTCCTCAGTAATTAGCCCTTCTCGGCACAAGGCCTGAAGGACCCTCATTTCTATTAGTCACTAAAGGCCTTTATTATTAATGGTCTAGGGGCACCTGAGTGGCTTGGTCTTTAAGCGTCTGCCTTCGGCTCAGGTCATGATCCTAGGGTCCTGGGATCGAGTCCCAAATTGGGCTTCCTCTTTGGTGGGAAGCCTGCTTCTGCTTCTCCCACTCCCCCTGCCTGAATTCCCTCTCTCACTGGGTCTCTCTGTCAAATAAATAAATTAATTTAGAAAAATTAGTGGTCTGATATCTCCTTAGTCCACATGGCCCTGATCACACAGCTCTGGAGACACTGAATTACTATGGCAGCAGTGACACTTTAGGAGAGAGACGACAGGCAATACACAGCAGAGGTGATATGCAAAACCGGGACTGGTGGGATGGCATCCAGCGAGTGGTGCTGTGTTCCCAAGTGCTGTGACCTACCTGATCAGCCAGTTATTGTAAGATGGGAAGGTATGGCAGACCCCACAGTTAACTACAAGTACTACCACGCAGTCCTGCTGACAATACTATGTTCCCACTGTTCCAGACGCATCCTATCAGTGGTGATGTTGACAGGAATGACTGGGGCACTCGCCTGGGCCCTTATCACTTGTGGCGAGCCCCTACAGACATGACCACAGTGACCAAGATGACCCTCTCTTCATTTCTAAAACTGAAGAGGCCCCAAAGTGACCCGGAGTCCAGAGAATTCTTTTCATGAGATGCTCCCCCTAATTACAGGGCAGCCCTTTTACATTTTAATGGGACTGCTGAAACCATTTAAAAGGCACTGGGGGGCCCTGACAGGTTGCTAGGTGTAGTGGAGATTACTATCCAGGCACCCAGATGCTTTAAACCTATGCCATTACACACCCACTGCCCCAGAGGGGTTTCCCCTTGAGCAAATTTCCCTCAACCAAAAGGAATCCCTACCCACTCCTTAGTAAACTCCCAACTTAATTTTGTTCTTTTCTGAAAATACACAGGTTAAACTCTCCTGGGAGTTATAAAATTTCAGTGTTCCTGGTCACTTAGTATCTGGCCAGCCAGTCTCTAAACTCTAGGCCCTAATTAATACTAGCATTCTCCCAGCCACAGTCTCCTTCTGCCATCCATCCTCTTGCCACATGGCTGCCATCTATCCCCTGACTCCAACCCAATCCCTGCAACTCCTCTGCCCTCCTCTCTAACCTCAGGGTTGGCAGCCACCTAAGCCTCTACACTAGGAACTGGTAGATCCCCAGGACTCAATCCACAATAAAGATGCATGGTCCTTTTTGTCCCTATTAGATACCAGGGCTCAAAGTCACTGTTATTCCAGACAAAGCCTCTAAATTCTTCAAAGGGAAGCCCTTCTACCTACAGGGCATTCCTAGTAAAACAATCAAAGGTGTACAAATCCATCTGGATGTAACTAACTACAGGGGCCATTTACTTCAAACAGCTTCTTCTGGTGGTGGCTTCCTTGGCCCTTTCTTTCCCTATTACAGGCATGGATGCACTGGCACAATGCCACACAGAACCAGCCCAAGTTCTTAGTCTTCCTGGGGGATTTTACCAAGTGGATGCCAGTGACTCTCCCTCCTGTGGGCAAAATGGTAACACCCCCCAATACCAATTTAAACAGGGCACTAAAGACCTATACCTTGTTACTAAAGATGCTGAGATAGAGTCTTTAAGCCCACAGCCTCCCCTTTCAAAGGCCCCATCTGGTCAGTACATAAGTCAGTCACTAATGAATGGAACCTCACCATTTACCTTCAAATCCTTAATACTAAGGTTTCCCCAATTAAATGATAATTCCTAGTATTACAGAATTAATTAAGGACACATATCGCTAGGACAAGCAGCATGCTGGCATTCACATTACATGGGTCCCAGAAGGAAAACAGAGAATAGGGGCAGAAAACTTAACTGAAGAAATAATAACTGAAAACTTCCCTAACCTGGGGAAGGAAAAGACATCTGGGTCCAGGAAGCACAGAAAGCCCCAAATAAGAACCCAAGACAAATGATAATTAAAATGGCAAAAATTAAAGAATCTTAAAAGTGGGGAGAGAAAAGCAAACAGTGATGTCTAAGGTAACTCCCATGAGGCTATCAGCTGATTTTTCAGGAGGCCAGAGGTAGCAGTACCGTGTACTCAGAATGGTGACAGGAAAAAACTACAACCAATACTCTCCCCAGCGAGGCCATCATTCAGAATTAAAGAGGTCCCCAGACAAACAAAAGTTAAAGGTGTCCATCACCACTAAACATTAGGCTTTATAAGAAACGTTCAAGGGACTTTTTTAAGTAGGAAAGAAGAGGCTGTAACCAGGACTTAGAAAATTATGAAAGAATTCCAATGGTGAAAGAAAATAAATAGTAAAGGTACCAGATCAATCACAAAGCCAGTATGAAGGTTAAAAGATAACAACAGGAAAATCACTTGTATCTACAATAATTAGTTAAGCAATACAAAAGACAAAAGGATGTAAAACAGGACATCAAATACATAAAACACAGAGCGGGGAATAAAAACGTAGCAAACATGCTTTTTCAATGTGTTGAAACTTAAGTGACCATTAACTTAAAATAGATGCTGTATGCATAGGATGCTATGTATGAACCTCATGGTAACCACAAACCAAAAATGTGTAATAGATACATAAAAAAATAAAAAGAATTCAAGCGTTACCCTAAAGAAAGTTATCAAATCACAGGGGAAGAGAGCAAGAAAGGAAGAAAGGTACAGAGAAGAACTAGAAAAACAATTACAAAACAACAAAAAGTACCTATTAATTATTACTTTATATGTAAATGGACTAGGGGAGCCTGGGTGGCTCAGTTAAGTGGCTGGCTCTTGATTTCAGCTCAGGTTATGATCTCAGGGTCCTGGGATCAAAACCTGTGTCAGGTTCCATGTTCAGTGGGGAGTCAGCTTGAGGATTCTCTTTGGCCTTCTGCCCTTCCCTCTCCATATGCTTGCTATTTCTCTA